TATCCTTGAACACCCGCACCGATGGGGCCTCAACATTTTCAAAGTTTTACTTTAACAATATTGCTTTATTATTCCTCAGAGGTTGCTACAGCTTTGCAAAATGCTTATTATAAGAGGTGGCATGTACATTTAATAAATAACTCTTCTACTGAATGGGCCATTAGGAGAAGGGGTGTGGCCCCTCCCCAACCCTAAAGACTGAAGAGCGCAGCTTTATCCAACTAAAGATTCACTAGGTCCACCATCTTTTTTCCAATAATGTTCCAGAAATAAGTCCAATACACTCCCAAAAATGCCCACCTCCTGGAACCACCTCCAGAACTAAGGCAAGTTCCCTTCTCAGGCTCCCCAAAGAGTCGCTGGGTGGCAATTTACTGAGGGCCCCCTCAAGCTTGGAACTTGTCCTGCCAACACATCCTCTAACAAGAGCTGAATTCATGGACAAATGCTGGGAAGTACACCTGTTGGGCATGCACCAAAAGATTCAGAAGCAAAAGAACGCTTGAAAACACAGACATCGGGCTGATGAACTCGAACGGATTAGCTGATTATATTCAGCTGCAAATATTCTCACAACTCTCTCTCCCTCCCTCCCTCCCCCCTGAAAGCGAGAGTGAGAGTGAGAGTGTGGGGGACTTACCCTTCAAAATTGGTCAATCCAAACTCCAAACCAGAAGTGGGCGTGTTTTGGCCAACAAGTCCCATCATCCTTCACCAGCGCTTATGTTATCTAGAGCCAACGCACACTGCAGCTTCAGACATCTAGAGGGCAACCAGCTCCCCCCACCCCCCCACACCACCCAGGCTGCAGTGAAGACAAGCCAGTTCAAGCATTTCAGTCCATCCGTTTCCAGGTTGTCAGTCCATTGATCAATCAAACTTACACCCTGGTAAACACGGTGTCTCTAAAATCAATACGCAGATAGTGGGGAAACCTAATGGAGCCCCTGCCAGTTTGCTTTCATCACGCCAATTCAATTTGGCACCTCCGAGGCAACCCCAAAAGAGCAGAAACACTTGTTTTTGGAGGGCAGCCACTTGGTGTGGCTTGCGTAACGGACTCTGCCAACCTGCCCCCATCCAGAAATAAGCACTGATGTTCATTCCAGGCAGAGCCTAATGATAAGAGGGCACCTGCTGGATTTTCCACTTTGTCTTCAGATACTGTCCGTACAAACCACACCAAGCAGTTCCCCTTTGCTCTCCCACAGGAGGGGATGCCTCACAGGGAAGAGGCATTCCCACCCACCCAGGTCTTTCATAACATGGTGCTCACCACCTGCATCTGATACTATCTCATGTTAATACAACATCTATCTGTGTATCTCATATTTAAAGACTCCAATAACCTGGAGGCAGCTTTGAGGTTCATTCAAATACCCCTTTTCATGGCTTACATACAGTAGTCTTGCTCTAAACCAGAGAAGAGGAACCTCTTTCTGTTTGAGGGCCAGAGTCAGAGAAGTTCTTGGAGACCACAATCCAGTGGGAGGTGGGGTTGAGTGGGACAGAAATACTCCTCCCCCAAATAAAAGCTGGCATCTTGTAGCTTCAAGTACTCACTGTTAGCAACTCAGTCTTAGGAGTGGCCATTCAACCTTTTAGAATTGGCCGATATGGAGAACTAGACTAGCCAGTAATCGATAGTCAGGGAAGGGAGTCCAGCCAGTGCAAAAAGGCTTGGCCATCTAGCTAACCCCAAGGGCTGGACTGGAACCACTGCAGTCCTTAATAGATCAGAGTAACCCAGCTCTTTAGAGACACTGCAGTTTAATGTACCTACAGTCACTGCTCAAGATGACTGCACTAGATCCGAATGGCCAGAAGCATGTCCATGGAGCAGGTTGTTCAACAAGATGTCTGAAGAACCTGCTGATCCGTGGTTGATTTGGAAACAGTGTAAGCGAGAAGAGTCTGCCAAAAATAGCAGAGTTCATGACAAATGGCTCCAGGTGTGACAGTTCAATGCATATTATTATAAAGTCACAGGAGGCTGTTCACCATGGCATTTCCCAGGTGCTTCCTATGAAAAGTCACCATGCAAAAAGGGTCTCTTCTCTGCTACCATGAAGCCGTGAAGGGTGCATCAACGTCGAACTCTACTCCCTGAGCCTGATTATGATTGGTGGGATAGCAGTGATTTCGTAGGGAGTACAGCAACAAAGCGATGAAAGGACAGAAGACCCCAAATCAATCTACTTCTGGACTGAGCCATTTTTTGGTCTGCACCCCTCTTGCAAGGCTTCAGTCTTACATCCATTCTGCCTTACTTCCACATCCATCTGCACTTATACAAGGAAGCTGCACAACTCTGCACTGAAGTAAACATTTAAATTCCCCTCTCTGCTCACTCCTTCAGAATATGACTTTCTGAATGCATTTAGCCACAAAATGTATCTTTTAATTTTTGAATGCATTTGTTAACTGCCCAGAGAGTTTCAGCTGTTGGGTGGCATAGAAATTCAATCAATCAATCAATCAATCTGCTTTCTGAAATCCCTTTTCAGATGTGTGTTGCTGTTTTTAAGCCGAGAACTACATCTGAGATGTGCAAAATCCTACTGATAACTACATTACTACCTACATTAAGCCCAGGAAGTGTGTGTCAGGTCAGTCCTTACTGCAGCTTGCAAAGACCAAAGTCATCAAGCATCACTACTCCAAACACAAGACACAAGTTCTGTTTTCACACTGAAGCAGCCTGTGCAGCACCATGGTCAGAAAAAAGGACTGGGGCTTGGGAAACTTGGCTTCTAGTCCCTGCCATGAAGCTAAGCTCTGGGTGACTTTCGGCCAGCCACTGACCCTCAGTCTAGCCTGCCTTTGAGCTTCTTGTGAGGATAAAATGGAGAGAAGAACCTTGTTGACTGCCTTGGGTTCCTTGCAGGAGGAAAAAGAGGGATATTAATTATATAATAGTAAAATTCTGAGGCTTTGACAGACCTAGGGCTGTTTGGATGTCTCCTTCGCCTTACATTTACAAAGTCTTGGGCCTAAAGAGAGCTTAATATCCAGGGGACAAGAATTACTCCAGTCAATCAAATGGAATCTCTCAGATTCAGAGAAGAAAATTATACACAAAGCAGCCCTTGGACCAGGTGTTGCCAGGCTGGGACCAAACGGGGCCAAGGTCCTTCCCCCAGGAGTGTACCAGTGCCAGGCAGAAAGGTTTTCCAGCTTGACTACCATCCAGAATGTGATTCTGAAGGGGAGTTAGAGCTGGGGTGAGAAGGTTTAACTCAGCTCTCTTCACATGGCCCAACAGCTCTTCAATCTTTCCCTGCATAGCTTAAAAGCAAACTTTTTGAGATAATCAGGGAGGGCAGCATGCAAATAGACCAGAAAATTGCTTTTGAAATTATTGGGACAGAAGCTCTCGTCTCCAGATATCCTCTTAAATATACGCCCCTGAGCTGGCAATGCAACCTAGACTTTTTGGCCCTGTTGGTGTTATAACCAACACTTGGGGAGATCACACGGCTGGGGAAGGTGGGTATAAATTACCCTGTGTGGCTTTACTCGTGCAGACAAGCTGTAGTATGCATGCAAGGTCATTCTGCCTCCCTCCACAGCACATTTAGTTCCATGAAGACATGCAAGGGTGCCATTCACAAGGAACTCATCTGAACATGCCCCTTCCCCAACACCAAACATGAGCAGCAATGCAAGACTTGGATTTTCTTCCCCGAATTTTCCCGAACCTGCACTGTTTGAAAATGAGTACTTGTTCATTGCACATCACTGCATTTCCCTGCCCTGCCTCCTCCCCATTTTCATCCCTATGGGGAAATCCACATCTTTCCTATTCAAAACTGCACATTTTGGGAGAGCAGGGAAATAGTTCCTTGTGTCTTGCAAGCAACATGGACAAATTGAAGAATTCCCCTCATTTGAAGAAGAATTCAGGCAAGTTCAAGACACTCAAAAGTTGCATTCCCATTTCAGAGCCTCTGTCCATTCCCCCTTTGGTCTTCCTGTCTTTGGCTTTCAGCCTGGCCTGACATGAAAGATTTACCAATTCTCAAATAATTGAGTGGCTCCTTTCCTGATTAAATGCTAAGATATTCTATTAGCTCCCACAAGCCTTAAAGGCAGAGTGGATTTCAAAAAGTGATACGAATTTATGTATGAATGTAAAACTTTTCTATACCAATCCCATGCTTAGACGTCTTGGGACGGTTTACAACAAATAAAGAGGCATGTAATCTGCAACTTTGAGACCATCTAGTGGAGAAGACTGGAAGGTATTGCCTTCCAGATGTTACTGGACTGCAGCTCCCAGTGGCTCTACTCAGCCATGAGCATGACCTGTTCTCATCGACAATCTAGCATGAAAACATACAAAGCCACCTTATATTGAGCTGGAACATTTGTACTCTAGTTTGACATTTTCTAAGCCAGGGGTCCCCAGTGTGGGGCCCACAGGTACCCCACGTATTTTTAAATAGCTTTTTAAAAATAAAAATACACGGATTTGAATGCAAAGCATATACATCAGTGAATATTAAAGACTGAACCAGTACAAAATTTATCTGTGTAAGAACCTCCTTGCAAAATGAAGCAACTATGAGGCATCGCTAAAATATAACTTAAAAGAAGCATTTGCTCTATTGTGCCACCAGCAATTAGCCAAATTAGATCATTCTTAAAGAAATTTTGCAGGCATGAAACGGAAGCTTTTGCTCAATAAGCCACAGCCCAAGATCCACAGATGTGACAGGCAGGCATCAGAGTGGCAATTTTGTAGTGGTGCCCACAGCAGTTTTTCAAATTCCAAAATGTGTCCATGGGTCTAAAACAGCTGGGGACTCCTAGTTTAAGCAGCAGCAACCCAAGGAGTCAGGAAAAGGAGGAACCAGGGATCAACCTGAGCCTGGAACTTTTTGCCTGATGGGCAGAACCTCTACTGCCCAGCTGTGGCTTTCCCCCATGACCAGTGACTGTCCTCTAATCCTTTCCTTGCCCGATCTCTGTGCAGACCATTGGTGCAGACCACTGAATTTGAAAAGTGCTTGACAATCTTTATTAGGTTTATCCTCACAACAACCCTGTGAGGTAGGCTACGTTTTCCCATTTTACAAATGGAGAAAAGAGGCAGAGAAAGAGGGGAAAGGGAGGGGAGGGGAGAGGAGGGGGAGAGGGCGTGAGACAGGCCTAAATCTGACATGGGAATTCTGCACCCTCTGTGGATATGCAAGTCTATTCTACAAATCACAGTGTGCATTCCGTCCCACCGAAAGTGAAAATTGCCTCTGTCAGGGATGCAGCTCCCCTTCCGTGGCCCTTAGAAGTGCAACAAGATGGTCAGCAACCTGAACCCAAGTCCTTCTAGACACACCCAACTCACTGGACAGCTTTTCTTCCAAATCTTCAGAATGGAGATCTGACCAGCTCTGGATGGTGAGAAGTGAAAGATTTGCCTTGAATGGTGGCGCATCACGGTTAAAAATTTAGTTACTCCAAATATAATTTCTTGTTTCTCTTTAGAGAATGATAAAGGGTTCATCTACAGATGTTTCCATTCAGCTGCAGTATAAAAAATCTTTTATATAATATATGTACAACACATCATATCACAATATTGTTTTAAAAAAAGTGGGAAATCTTTGCCTGATCCATTGTTACAAGCACGTACAGATGCACAAAAAGGAAGCAGGAGAAACCAACCCTATTATTTAGTGCTAGCCAAATAGTTCCAGTAGGGCTGCAACCTGGCACTGAAAGCTGAGCTCCAGTCTTGGGGGATTATTTAATATTTTTTTTAAAAAATTAAAAATAAAATAAAGCAAGACTTTTGAAGTCAGAGAACACAAAATAAAGTGTAGCTTTTCCTTTTTTCTTTCATTTCCTCTTTTCTTTCATTCTTTTTTTTAATAAGATATATACATCAAAAAATAACGGCCCAAAAAGGGCATTGGTTTTTAATGCTATTAAAAAGCTATATAAATGTGCAGAGGTTCTTTTCTTCTCATCATGAAAGACCAACGGAAAACAAAAAAGCACCTCCAGCTTCTAGGAATTCTTCTGGGGGTATTTTTATTTAAGTACCTGTAAAGAGAGTATAAGGAAAGAGGGGAAACAGGATGTCAGAAAAGAACCGTGTTGTTATATGTTGGCTATTCATATGACTAAAATCTATGCAAAAGATTCACATGGCACCCATGAAACAAGCTTGAAATCAGAAGCCTTGCAGGCTCTGGAGCACTTCTGGCACTGTGAGTGGCTACAGACTCTCAATGTTTCATCCTACCCCCCACCCCCCCGGCTCACAAAAGTTGCATTCCTGTAAGCACTTAGCTGACAATCAAGACTGGTTGCTTCTCAGTCCCTGAAGCGCTTCAAGTATCATCTGTGCATTCAGGAAGCTTCTCCAGCCAAGGAATTTTTGGTGGAAGCCTCCCCCGACTGTTGTCGGCTGCATGACACCAGTGGGTTCCCCTTATTCCCTCAGTTCACTAAGATCTTCCACTGTGGCCTCAGAACCGAAAAAATGGTACCGCCATCCGTGACAACAGCAAACCTGCCCCTTCGGGCTCAGTGATGACACCAAAGTGGGGGCGGTGGGTGGGTTGTGTGAATGCACAGGTGATCACTTGAAGAACTGTCACTACTGTTCTTCTTTGTGGTCTCTGAGCATCACACATACGAGCGACTGACAAGCTCACTTCCTCCACGTGAGTCAGTGCCATTAACACAGAATGGATTACTAATCGGGCCAACCCAAAGAGAAGTCTGCTCCAGTCCAACTATCTTTCTGGCAGAGCTGAATGAAAGTGCAAGGCTAGGTAGCTACTGGACACAGTTCTGTCAACAAGACACCTCAGAATGGAAGACTGCTGAAGGTCCACTGAAGGAAAAGGACGTTCCACCATCTTCCATAACCTCTTCCAGAAAAGAGCCATCAGTCTGTCAGAGGTGTTTCTCTTGGCTCGTTTGGTGAAAGCCTGACAGTGTGAGGAAGGTGATGACATGTCCCTCACCCAAGCAAAGCAGGCGGAGTGAGAAGCCCTTGGTTGGTGGAAGGTTAGCTCCATTCCCTTCTGAAGGCCATCTTCAAGGCAAAATGGTTCTCAGGAAAAAGAAGCAATCAGAGATTGCCGGACAAGTAAGAAAAGTTACAAAAATTTGAAGAAAGGTTGCAAGAGAAAATAGGAGAAAATGCTCAGTGAGACCCTCAGCAGAAAGGCATAGAACCTTCTCCTCAAGAGAAAGGACAAAGTTCCTCACGAGGCCACCACAATGGCAGCTGAAAAGGATCTGAGGGAAAAGGCAGGAATCTACTAACATCAGTGGGGAAGGTCACCCACCCTAAGTTCCTCAGCTTTAGAAACTTCCCAAATAAGGTTCCACACAGCCTCAGAGTCCCTGTGTTTGAAGCAGAGAGACCACCCTTAATGTGCTTGATGAAATTGACCTCTGGGTAGACGTGCAAAGAATTGAACTGCCAGTCTCTTACCCACTGAAAAATGTATGTGGCAACTGAAAAGCTCCCTTGGAGCTCTTTGCTACCAGAAGTGAAGTAAAGCAGAAAGGAGCTGCTATACCCAGGCCTTCTTGTGGGCTTCCCATAGGCATCTGCAGCCACACTCTGCAGGATCAGACCTTCTTCATGAGAACATAAGAAGAATTCTGCTAGACCAGACCAGACTATCTAGTCCAGCATTGTGTCCAGCACAATGGCCAACCAGCTGCCCACAGGATCCCACAAGGAGGCCAGGACTGCCACACCACCCTCCTGCCCAAGTCCCCCAGAATACTGTCTCTGATAACAGGGTGGCATATAGCCAGGATGTGTAACCAAAGATATCCTTCACCTCCATGAATTTGTCCAATTGCTTTTTAAAGCTCCCCCAATTGGTTGCCATCTCTACATCTCCTGCCATCGTTTAACTCATTCCTGTGTGAACAAGTCCTTCCTTTTGTCGGCCCTGCATCTCCCACCAATCATCTTCACGGGATGACCCTAGGTTCAAGCATTATGGGAGAGGCAGAAAAATGCCCTTCTGCACTTCCTCAGTTATGGCTTGCTCCACAACAAAATGTGGGGAAGTCAAGAGGGAATGAATATTTTCACAAGTGACTGTAAGTTTCCATCCTACCTAGCATGTCTTTTTTAACGTTCTCAAGTGGGGGTGCATTATTATTATTTATTTCATTTTATACAGCCCCTAGATGAAGCCCTCTCTACACTGGGAATGAGCTCGAAGGGGGTCCCGGAGCTGGTTGTCACAACCATTAAAGGCAAGAGCAGTTGCAGGCACCTGGAAGCCTCTGACCATATCGAGGCTTGTCCATCAAGGACAGTATTGGCACCAGCCAGAAATTGTGCAGGCCTTTCTCTCCAGCCTTTTGCCGCCAGCATGTTAAGGCAGGCAGACTTGAGTGACAGCAGCCATCTCCACTGCCAGCCCTCTAAATAAAGCACTGGGGAAGGAGGGTTTTATTTATTTATCTATCTATCTATCTATCTATCTATCTATCTATCTATTTTTATTTAGGGAACTTCTATGCCGCCCCATTCGCTGAAGCCTCGGGGCGGCTCACAAACATAACTTGGTTTGGGTTTGTCTTGAGATAGGAAGGGAGTTTCCAGGAGAAAGCAGTCCAGGCAGATGGCCCCAGGGTTCTTCCCTCACTGCCTTTGGTGCACCTTTTGCAGTCCTGGAGGGGCAGCCAGCTCAGATCCAGGACAGGGCTCAGCCCTTGGAGTCCAGCACTGAGTTCACAGAAGGTCACAGTTCTGTGACCTTAATAGCATCATGATGAACTTCCTGTTTCTGGCCAGGTTTTGTGAATGTTAGGAAACCTCCATGGGTAGGTTTCGTCATTTGTTTGCATTGAGCTTGTGCAATTGTTTGGAAAGAGATACTTTGCCTGCAGCCTGTACCAGAAATTCATGGGTTAGAACCGTGGCAGGCATTAAAAGGAACCCAATTGTGCACGAGATGCAGTGCTTCCATGTGTCCCCGGATGACTGGTGTGTGCAAACATTAACCTGAGCCGCAGGTATCACAGCAGCAACTGTTCTAAATGGCCAACCAAATGCACAGGCTTTCCTAAACAACAAAACCACCCAACACAGTCCCAACACAGCGACAAACAGCACCAGCTTCCCCTACATCCCGTTGCTTTGCAACGGGGTCTGGATTAAAAATGTTCGGCATCTCCCATGCCACAAAGATGCACCAGCACCCAGCACCGCACCTTCTCAGAGGCAAGGAAACTTATGCCACAAACCCTGGAATAAAAAGACCAGGTCGCGTTGCTTTTCTGTAAAGCGCTGCTTGCAGGCTATACTCATTCATTTATTTATTTAAAACTTTTATATGCCATCACCACGTGCCTTGGCATCTCGGGACGGCTCACCAACGTACAATTAAAACAATAAAACAATTACAAATTCCATAAAATTATAGAAAAACAAAAAAGTGACTGTTAACGATAAAATTTAATTTTTAAAATAGCCATTAAATAAAAAGTTTTTAACCTGGTGCTGAAAAGAATATAAATTCGGCGCCAGGTGCACCTCTCCAGGGAGTGCATCCCATAATCTGGGCGCCACCACAGAGAAGGCCCTGATCCAGGTAGTTGTTCTTTATCTCCTTTAAAGAGGGCTCCCGGAGCAGAGCCTCTGCCGCAGATCTTAAGGGGCGTGAGGGCATGTAAGGGAAGAGGCGCTCCTTCAGGTCTCCTGGTCCCAAGCTGTTCAGGCTTTATAGGTTAAAACCAGCACCTTGAATTGGGCCCGGGCTTCATCTGGAAGCCAGTGTAGTTTAATGAAAGCAGCAACCAGGATTATGAATGGGGAAACCCACACTCTATGGAGTGTCCTCCTGAGGCCCAGACCGTACCTGATTCTTTGATCCTTATGCTTGTTCTCCATTGTCCATCTCAACCTCGTCCAAGTCAGGCGAGTCTGTGGCTCGTGACAAGATGTCTGCCATTAGCGCCTCCTCCAGTTTTTTGCGTACTTGCTGCACTCGCTCCTCTTGTTTTCTGTGGAACAATTCGAAAAGCCATCACGGAAACATGTTCTGCAATGCAGAAAATGGCTTCAGAAAGCGGGGAATTGGAAGCAGCAGGCCAAGACGATCCACGTCAACAAAATACGGGCCTGCTAGCTGAACAGGCATTGCTGCTGACAAGGGAGAGCTCATGTGCTGGGAAAAGAGTGTGCAGGGCCAGCACACGGGGTGCGGGGGGTGGGAGGGAGAAACCGGGCCAGATCCACCTGTGCCAGTGCTGCTCCATGCCAGCCAGCCCCGAGGACTACGGAGCGCTCTGCATCAGCCTGCCTGGCTCTCCGCCTCTCCTGCCACGTTTACCCATCATGCCAATTGCTTCACAAATAAACTATCACTGTGAGTTGTTTGCAGAGCCCAGGAGGCGCCCAACAGATGGCTGGGCTCCCCCGGCTTGCTGCCCCCAGTCTTCCCATCCATTCGCCAGCTGGTATCCCAGTGCCTTTCACAGCGGAATCCATTCCATCTCCTTCTCCCCTTAGCAGTCCCTGCACTGTTTCATTCACCTACTACTTCTTTATTTGAAGACTCAAAAATGATCACTTGGGCCTGGGGGTGCTGCTGTTGGTGTGACTCCAGAAAATTGTGCTGTTTGTTATTGTATTGTGGGTCTTTTGCAGAGGTGCTGCTACGCATTTATGGCTGCCCAATATGAGAAGTCCCATCCGGTCAATTGCCTTGTCTGTTTCAGCTGCCAAAGGGAACAAGGAAGCGGGTAGGGAATGGGCTGACAACCTGAAACAGCATTTGCACTCCGTTGCCAGGGGCCGTTTGTCCAGCGGCCAACTGAAGAGCACGGGGGAAGGGAGGAAGCCCAGAAGGAAGCCCACCCTCTTCCCCTTGTCAATGTAATCTCAGTTTTAAGTGGCCGTTCCCTTTGGAATCCACCTTTCCAACACTTTTTTGGGGGGAGAGGGGAGATTTAGAATGGACAAAGAACCACAGTAACCACAGCAGCAGGTGCTCCAAAAAGCAGCCCTGAAAAGTGAGGAGTTTAATATCTCCCCTTAAAAGAGGAAGTTAATATCTCTGCTTTCTAGAATAGCTGGAGACTCGAGCAAGCAGAAGCTGGGAGGAACTGAGGGGAAAGCAAACACACAGGTGAGATAGCACATTGGGCACCTGCCCTGGGAGATTCTGCCGCACTGAGCAAGGTGCAGTGGACTCTCTGGCAGGAGCGGAGGTTCAAGGAGCAAGCAAACCAGAACCGGTCTGTCTGGTGACGGATGCGGCCTTGCTTGGGTGGTCTTGATGGTTTGAAAGGGGTCTGGACAAACCCATGGAAGAGAAGGCTGCTGATGGTAGGAGTGCTGATGCCAGTCTGCCGCCTCCACCAGCAGAGGCAGTAGGCCTTTATGCACCGGTTGCTGGGGAACATGCGCAGGAGGATGCTATTGCACTCACGTCCTGCTGGTGGATTCTCGTAGGCAGCTGGTTAACCCGAAGATGGACTAGATGGTCCCTTAGTCTGACCCGGTAGGGTTCTTTTTATGTTTGGAGAAAGGGATAAGGAGGGAAAATACACACTTTTATGGTCACACAGACGTAGAGTCATGCTAGATGATGCTTTAATCATGCTTAATACAGCTATGAGAAAGGGCACAGAATGGCAGGGATGGGGAAAGACGGCCAGTACAGGGTGGAGAGCTTAAAACAACAGGGGATAACATGAGTGGGGCTAAGAGGGGCGCCACACCCCATAGTTCCCTCCAAGCAGCCCCAGTGGCAGCAACTGGATCCCAGCTGGCTCCTGCTTGGAAAATAGTGAAGATCTCTGGACCACGCAGGTGGCAAGGGGGCATTTCCAGTTTCCACTTCATGAAAAAGGCCTGCTGTGGATGTGCCAACATGGAAACTATCTGCAGACATATTAGAAATTAAAATTCACACTCCTTGCTGTGGCAAGTTATGAGAGTATTTTAACGAGTCTCTTTGCAGGAAACTCGGTATTGATCCGCTATTAATCTCAATGACATCCATTGATCCCGCTGGCAAGCTCTGCAGGTGGATTTAGTGCTGGTTTTGACTGAAGCCGAATCATATCCCATTGTCATGGACCATTTTTCCCCCACACACCCGCCTAGCCAGAAAAAGTTAGGCAGACAGGAAATTTGCTAACTTTTGCAGGGAGGAAATGCTACAAACGGTTCGGTTGGAGGCCTTACTTTTAAAGAGACGGCCAAAAGGAAAACCTCCTCCAGGAAACCTTTAGAATGAAAATTAATTCCATCTTCACTCCTCCTGACTCTGAAACGTAGGAGTATCTCCAGGTGCCACGTTCCTTTCAGCAGACTACCTGGGTATCTACTCACCTCCTAATGTTATGGCAAACGTCAGGCACATAGTGAATGGTGGCATTAAAGAGTAACATTTAATATAATAGTGGGAAAACACTGGGAATTGCAGGCCAACACAGTAGCCTGGAGAGGGGAAAGCCAAATTAATCAATTAAGGTTGCAGTGCTGATGGCTGGGACAGATCGGAGCTGCAGGCCCCTTTCCCACCTAAACAGGCATAGGATTGCACCTTAATCAATTAAAATCATGTTGACTGACCTAAAAGGAAACAGCTCTACTCAGCTGGTCACACATTTTCAAAGGAAAGGTTAATTAAGATCAGTACTTCTGAAACGGCAGATGAGCGGTGCCAAAACCCAAGTCTTCGGCCCAGCTCTCAGAGGAGAAACGACTCTTTAAAAGGGCTGGATAAACACTGTACAGAACATCTTTTTTCTTCTTTAATGATGTGTCTGTGTCTGTGTGTGCGTGCGCATGCACAGGCAAGGAAAAGGGAGAGAGAAGTTTTGCTGGGAATGCAGTGCATTCGGATGGAAACTTGTTTCTTCAAAGCCTAACACTGACCAGAATGAAAATCTCCCCTCCTCACCATGGGTGGCCAGGGCTAAAAAATACATTTGCGTTGTACAACCAGATCTTATACCCGCAAACACTTCCTAAGTACACAAGGGGAGAATCTCAGTTTGCCTGCAGCTGAGAAAAGAAAAGGTAAGCTTGGACGTGCTGTTTTCCCAGTAAGAGTCTCCTCCACCAGCAATTAAGGAAGCATGAAGATGTTGTGACATGCTGTTAATTCTGTGAAATGCATAGCTTGGCCCTGGGATGGTGCCGTACGCATCTATCACTCAACAAGAATGTGTGTGTTTCCTCCCAGCCCAATTTCTGGCAAAAGACCCAAGAAAGTTAGTTGCACAAACATTCCACAGAAAATTAATGGGCATAAATTGGTTGCAATGAATATACTGTACTGGTTGCCACAGGTCATAAGGAAGACCAACTTTCTCTGTATTTGGGGCTATTACATTTCTGCATGGACTTGCCTGTGGGATAGGTAGCTTGATTAAAATTAATTAAAACTTGTACATTAAATCAAGTAAGAAGTCCTTGAAGTGGGTAACAACTGGACCCTACACGATATACAGGAGGATTTGTAAGCCTGTTTTTAGTTGAATGGAGCCAAGGAAAAATATCCCTGGAATTTCTCACGCAGGCTGAAAAAGTCACTGTGCGGAACTCTCTGAACTTTGTGGGTGGAGGGTGTACCATTCCCCCTCCCCATCAATGTGCTGAAATGCTAGACCCGGGACATGGTGGAGCATCCAAAATGGTGGCAACCCTGCCAGCACATGCGGGAGAGGAACACAAACCTAAAAAGAAGGAAGAGCTGTGCTGAGCTAATGGGGAGCCCTCCAGGAGTTCAGCAAGGCTGTATACTGTCGCCCTGCCTATTTAGCTTTTATGCAGAGCACATCATGAGAAAGGCGGGGCTAGATGACTCTCCAGTTGGCATTAAGATTGCTGGGAGAAATATCAACAACCTCAGAAATGCAGATGATACCTCTCTCATGGCAGAAAGTGAAGAGGAACTAAAGAGCCTCTTGATGCGGGTGAAGAGGAGAGAGCAAAAGCTGGCTTGAAACTCAACATTAAGAAAACTAAGATCATGGCATCTGGTCCTCTCACTTCCTGGCAAATAGATGGGGAAGAAATGGAGGTAGTGACAGATTTTATTTTCCTGGGCTCCAAGATCACCACAGATGGGGACTGCAAGCCAAAAAATTAAAAGACGCTTGCTCCTGGGGAGGAAAGCGATGGCAAAGCTAGACAGCATACTAAAAAGCAGAGACATCACCCTGCCAACAAAAGTGCGTATAGTCAAGGCTATGGTTTTCCCAGTTGCAATGTATGGCTGTGAAAGCTGGACCATAAGGAAGGCTGAGCGCAAAAGGATTGAGGCCTTTGAATTGTGGTGCTGGCGGAGACTCCTGCGAGTCCCTTGGACCGCAAGGCGATCAAACCGGTCAGTCCTAGAGGAGATCAACCCTGACTGCTCTTTAGAAGGCCAGATCCTGAAGATGAAATTCAAATACTTTGGCCACCTAATGAGAAGGAGGGACTCACTGGAGAAGAGCCTAATGCTGGGAACAATTAACAGCAAAAGAAGAAGGGGACGGCAGAGGATGAGGTGGCTGGATGGAGTCACTGAAGCAGCTAGTGTGAGCTTAAGTGGCCTCCGGGGGATGGTGGAGGACAGGAAGGCCTGGAGGAGTATTGTCCATGGGGTCATGATGAGTCGGACACGACTTCGCGACTAACAACAACACCCTCTAAGAAACTGTTGGGAGAGTTTCTTCTCACCTTGAAGAAATATGATGAAAAGGTGCCCTCCTATTTTCCACCCACACATGAGCTGGAAGATTACAAGAGCCATCAGCATACAGCTTTAGTTTTTACTCTGCAATGTACCTGAACACCCACTCTATATTCCAACCCCAGCAAACCCATCCCTAATCATAGGAAGGTTCACATTATTCCATTTTCCTGTTTCTACTACTCCTTATCTTAAGGCATAACCCTATGCAAATTTAGGCAGGGAAAAAAGGCCTACAACTCCCAGAATGCCTCAGTCAGCATTTATTTCACTTTCTAAATTCACGTTGGATTCTATCTAAACTTGCATAAGATGTTATGCTTACCCTCCTTCATGATAACTGA